TTAAGATTTTTGCATCTATGTTTATCACAAATATTGGCCTGAAGTTTTTTGTTTTTTTTTTATTGAGTCTCTGCCAGGTTTTGGTATCAGGATGACGTTGGTCTCATAAAATGATTTCAGAAGGATTTTCTTTTTTTTGATTGTTTGGAATAGTTTCAGTAGGAATGCTACCAGTTCCTCTTTGTATATCTGGTAGAATTCGGCTGTGAACCCGTCGACCTGGGCTTTTTTTGGGTGGAGGGCTCTTAATTGCTGCCTCAACTTCTGACCTTGTTATTTTTCTGTTCAGGGTTTTGACTTCTTCCTGGTTTAGGCTTGGGAGGAGGCAAGTGTCCAGGAATTTATCCATTTCTTCCAGGTTTACTAGTTTATATGCATAGAGTTGTTTGTAATAATCTCTGATGGCAGTTTGAATTTATGTGGAATCTTTGGTGATATCTTTTTTATCGTTTCGTATTGAATCTATTTGGTTATTCTCTCTCTCTTTTTTTATTAATCTGGCTAGTGGTCTGCCTATTTTGTTGATCTTTCAAAAAACCCGCTCCTTGATTTGTTGATTTTTTGAAGGTTTTTTTGTGTCTCCTTCAGTTTTGCTCTGATCTTAGTTATTTCTTGTCTTCTGCTAGGTTTTGAGTTTTTTTTATCTTGCTTCTTTATCTCTTTTGACTTTGATGATAGGGTGTCAGTTTTAGATCTCTCCTTGCTTCTCATATGGGCACTTATTGCTATATATTTTCCCCTAGAGACTGCTTTAAATGTGTCCCAGAGATTCTGGTATGTTGTGTCTTCGTTCTCATTGGTTTCAAAGAACATCATCATTTTTGCCTTCATTTCATTGTTTATTTAGTCAACATTCAAGAGCCAGATGAAGCTGTGCAGTTCTGAGTTAGTTTCTGAATTCTGAGTTCAAACTTGATTACACTGTGGTCTGAGAGACTGTTTGTTGTGATTTCCATTCTTTTGCATTTGCTGAGGAGTGATTTACTTTCAATTATATGGTCAATTTTAGAGTAGGTGTGATGTGGAGCTGAGAAGAATGTATATTCTGTGGATTTGGGGTGGAGAGTTCTGTAAATGTCTATCAGGTTTGCTTGTTCCAGGTCTGAGTTCAAGTCCTGGATATCTTGTTAATTTTCTGTCTGGTTGATCTGTCTAATATTGACAGTGGAGTGTTATAGTCTCCCACTATTATTGTGGGGGATTTTAATTCTCTTTGTAAGTCATTAAGAATTTGCCTTATGTATCTGGGTGCTTCTGTATTGGGTGCGTATATGTTTATGATCATTAGCTTTTCTTGTTGCATCGATCCTTTTACCATTATGTAATGTCCTTTTTTGTCTCTTTTGATCTCTGTTGCTTTAAAGTCTATTTTATCAGAGAAGAGAATTGCAACTCCTGCTTTTTTTTGCTCTCCATTTGCTTGGTAAATCTTTTTTCATCCCTTCATTTTGAGCCTTTGTTTATCGTTGTCTGTGAGATGGGTTTTGTGGATGCAGCACACTGATGGGTTTTGGCTTTTTATCAGTTTGCCAGTCTTTGTCTTTTGATTGAGGCATTTAGTCCATTTACATTTAGGGTTAATATTGTTATGTGTGAATTTGATACTGCCATTTTGATGCTAGCTGGCTGTTTTGCCCATTAGTTAATGCAGATTCTTCATTGTGTTGATGCTCTTTACCATTTGGTATGTTTTTGGAGTGGCTGGTACTGGTTGTTCCTTTCTATGTGTAGTTTCTCTTTCAGGAGTTCTTGTAAAGCAGGCCTGGTGTTGATGAAATCTCTGAGTATTTGCTTGTTCACAAAGGATTTTATTTTTTTCTGCACTTATGAAGTTTAGTTTGGCTGGATATGAAATTCTCGGTTGAAAGTTCTTTTCTTTAAGGATGTTGAATATTGGCCTTCAGTCTTTTCTGGCTTGTAGGGTTTCTTTTGAGAGATCTGCTGTGAGTCTGCTTCCCTTTGTGGGTAATCCAACCTTTCTCTCTAGCTGCCCTTAGCCTTTTCTCCGTCAATTCAACCCAGGCGAATCTGATGATTATGTGCCTTGGAGTTCCTGTTCTTGAGGAATATCTTTGTGGTGTTCTCTGTATTTCCTGGACTTGAATATTGGTCTGCCTTGCTAGGTTGGGGAAGTTTTTCTGGATAATATTCTGAAGAGTATTTTCCAGCTTGGATTCATTTTCTCTGTCACATTCAGGTACACCTATCAAACCTAGATTAGGTCTTTTCACATAGTCCCGTATTTCTTGAAAACTTTGTTCATTCCTTTTTACCCATTTATGTGTAATCTTGTCTTCTCCTTTTATTTCATTGAGTTGATCTTTGACCTCTGATATCCTTTCTTCTGCTTGGTCAATTCGGCTGCTTAAACTTGTGTATGCTTTGTGAAGTTCTCGTGTTGTGTATTTTCAGCTTCATCAATTCACTCATATTCCTCTCTTAAGTTGTCCATTCTCGTTAGCATTTCGTCAAATCTTATTTCAACGTTCTTAGTTTCTTCGCATTGGGTTAGAACATGTTTTTTTATCTTAGAGTAGTTTCTTATGACCCACCTTCTGAAGCCTGATTTTGTCATTTCATCATACTCGTTCTCCATCTAGCCTTGTTCCCTTGCTGGTGAGGAGTTGAGGTCCCTTGTAGGAGGAGAGGTGTTTTTGTTTTGGTTTTTTTCATTCTTTTTGTGCTGGTTTCTTTTTATCTTTGTGGATTTATTCACCTGTCATCTTCATAGTTGCTGACTTTCAGATTGGTTCTCTGAGTGGACGTCCAGTTTGTTGATGATGAAATTATTTCTGTTTTTTAGTTTTCCTTATAACAATCTGGCCCCTCTGCTGTAGGACTGCTGAGGTCTACTCCAGGCCCTGCTTGCCTGGGGATCACTTGAAGCAGCTGCAGAACAGTAAGGGTTGCTACCAGTTTCTTCTGCTGCTGTCTTTGTCCCAGAAGGATACCCACCAAATGTCAGTCTGATCTCTTTATTGAGAGGTGACTCTGGATATACAGGTGTCAGGGAGCTGCTTGAGGAGACAGTCTATTCTTTATAGGAGCTCGGGTGCTGAGCTGTGAGCTCCATTGTTTATTCAGAGCTGCTGGGCAGGTATGTTTAAATGTGCTGCAGCAGAACTCATAAACCTTTTTTTTTCCCTCAGGTGTTCTGTCCCAGGGAGTTAGGGCTCTATTTATGCATTTTTGTTTTGTTGCTGCCTTTTTTTCAGGGCTGCCCTGCTCAGCAAGGAGGCAGCCTCGTCACTGTCTTCCTGCAGTGGCTTTGCTGAACTGCCGTGGGCTCCACCCAGCTGCCACATGAACTTCCCTGAAGTTCTGTTTATATGGGTGTAGTTAGAACTGCCTCGGCAATGGTGGCACACATCTGTAATGGCGGACTCTTTCCGTAATGGCAGGCTGCCTCGGCCATGGTGGACTACCTCAGTAGTGGTGGAGTGCCTTGATAATGGCGGATGTTCCTCACCCTCAGAGCTGGAGCGTCATGGGTTCAGCTGTGTTTGCTATGAAACTCTCAACCCAGAGCATTTCCAATTGCTGTTTTTTTTTAATGGGGTTGGGACCAGCCGAGCCTGATCACCTGGCTCCCTACCTCAGAGCCTTTTTTTTTTTTAAGTTGAACAGTCGACTCTCCCAGCTGTTTCAGTTGCCTATTGAAAACGTGCTGGGATCTGTGTGATTTCCTGTGTGGCGACCCACTGCACTGGCTGAAACAGCGGCACTAAGATTCGTGATGCTTTTTTGCTCGGGAATCTTTTGGCATGGCTCCCTGTTTCAGTCCCCTTTATAATCAGATGAATGGGCGACTCTGCCTTCCGGGAGCTCCAATTGCCAGCTAAAAGGGCAACCAGATCAGTGTATTTTGTATGGAGAACCACTGCACCGGGGCACTGGCAAAACAGCCAAGCTGGCCAAAACAGCCATGCTGGCGACCCGTGGGGCTCCTCTGCCTGAGAATCTTCTGGTCTGTGGGCAATGAAAATTCGTCTGGAAATGTGGTGTCCACTCACCCACTGTGCTTTCTCTGGGAGCTGCAATCCTGAGCTTTTCCTAATTGGCTATCTTGGATCTTCGCCACTAAATTTATTTAAAATTAATTAGTTGTGCTACAATGTTAAAATGGCTATGACGTCACTAGACAATAGAGAATTTTCAGCACCATTATAATTTTATGGGGCCACTGTCATACATGCAGCCCATCATTGACTGAAACGTCCTTACGCAGAGCATGACTATACTAGCTCTGTACATGCCTGGTGACTTTCTTATGTCTGCATGGCCAGTAAAATCTGCACCCATTTTATTATGAAAAGCAGCAACCATCTTTACTGTTCTTCCCTCCCAAGCAACTATAGCATGAAGCACCTTATTATCAGTCGGGGTTTACAAGGATTGGATCTTTGCATGTTTGTTTTACTTTCTTGACAACTGGATTATTTTTTTTTTTTTAAATAAATAATGTGTCTTTGAGCATTTACTGATATTTTCTACTAGAAGGATTTCCTGTTTTTTTTGGTCTACCACATTTCCAGTAGTAGAAGCCAAAATGTGCTTATTACTTATTCCAGAAATTCTTTTTCTTTCCTTCTTCGAGGAATCCTCTATCTTTAGAAGAAATGCAGTTTATTTCAGCAAACAATATTGATTACCTTCTATGTACCAATGACAATTTACGGAAAGCATTAGTTTTATAGCAGAATTCTATCTTCATTCAAAAAATAAAACAAATATGTTTATCTTTCTTACCATTTTTTAAAAACTATCGATTAAAAGGATTAAATTATATAAAAGGAGTCAGCATATAAGTTCCTGTACTTTAAATAAAATTCCTGTCTTCAGGTGAAATTCTAGCACTTAAACTCTTGCTTTTTGCAAAGTATGGATTATGTTACCATTGTGAATACATGTATGCACTCGACACACACAGATGGTAAGTGGACAACTTAGGTCAAAGTTCACATATTTTTTCAAAATTGTGTATTTTTCTTTGTGTTTAGATTTTCTTCTACCTCAGTTTAAAAGATGTTTTAATATGTGGTCAAGTTAATCATGCTTGGATGTTGATGACACAGCTAAGCTCACTGTGGAATGCTGTAAGTAGATACTAACTAAACTGTCTTTACACTAGTTCTTAAAGGAGAGTGGACTGCTATGAAGCCAACTGTTGTGGGGACACCTTCTTCCCTGCTCTGTGGTTACTAGCAGCAAGTGAATTTGGTTTTCTTTTGTCCAGGCACAAGCCTGGGAGAAGAGATAACAAAGATAATAATGCTATTTTAAGAGATACATCATTAGTATTATAAAAGGTAAATGGTAGCTATAAATGAATGTCATTTTTGGATTGAAACAAAGCTCCATTTTATTGGAAGTTTGTACCTTATTCTGGTTTTATTATTTATTGTATGCCTGCTTCCTTTTCATGAGCACAGACTATATATTGAATCTATGACTATGGGAAAGATGTTTAGAGTATGAGGTGTGCAATGGCCTTTACATAACTCATAATTTTTGGAAGAGTTAGTTTCATTAAAAAGAGAGGATTATAAGGATTAACTTAGTGTACCTGGAGGATGGTATACAAAATTGGCAAGAGCAGAGGTTTTTGGAGTGGTCAGGGCTGATTGATAAACAATAACATTGACATCTTAATATTGCTAATGTTGTTAGCCAGAAGTTTAAGTTTTTGACTGTCCAGTTGCCTGTGAACAGGCAGTTTCTCATTACCTTCTGAATAAAGCTATTGTTTGTGCTAAAAATGCTTATTATAATTGTGCCACATTTGAACACTCGCAAATAAAAGCAGAAATAAGAGGAAGGAGCAATATACAGTTGTGGAAAGAAATTTGGTGAATATAAAACAGCTTAACTTTCTACCCTGGCTTTGTTCCTCACTGCCATGTACTTACAGTGTTCTCCATTTATATATATATATACACACACACACACATATATATATATACACACACACACATATATACATATATGTATATATAAAATTGCATTTTAGGTTTTGGGGTACATTTGAAGAACATGCAATATTGTTGCATAGGTACATACATGGCAATGTGGTTTGCTGCCTTCCTCCCCATCACCTATATCTGGCATTTCTCCCCATGTTATCCCTCCTCAACTCCCCACCCCACGCTCTCTCTTCCCTAGTTCCCCCGTCAGACCCCATTGTGTGATGCTCCCCTTCCTGTGTCCATGTATTCAATACCCACCTATGAGTGAGAACATGAGGTGTTTGATTTTCTGTTCTTGTGTCAGTTTGCTGAGAATGATGGTTTGCAGGTTCATTTATGTCCCTACAAAGGACACGAACTCATCTCTTTTTAGGATTTCCATTTGACCCAGCAATTTCATTACTGGGTATATAGCCAAAGGATTATAAATCATTCTATTATAAGGACACATGCCCATGAATGTTCATTGTGGCACTGTTTACAATAGCAAAGATTTGGAACCAACCCAAATGCCCACTGATGATAGACTGGACAGGGAAAATGTGGCACATATATACCATGGAATACTATAAAGCCATAAAAATCAAATATTCTTTATCTTTATCCATTAAGGACTCTGGACAGGAGTGTTGGCTATTTCTGACTCCTGCCAGCTTCTACAAGACATGTCCTGATCTAAATGTTATACATATTCTTTCTCTTCTGGACCATTTAGATTCATTTTTTCTTTCTTTCTATGTTTTCCAAAGGACAAATCTCTAACATAATTTATGTAACATAATTTAGAGATTCTGTAACATAATTTAGAGATTTATTACTTTAAGCCAGTGGTTCTCAAAGTGTGTTCCTGGGACCATTTTTATCAGCATCACACAAGAACTTGTTGGAAGTGCAAATTTCTAGGCCCCATCCCAGACCTACTGAGTCAGAAACTCTGAGGGTAGCAGACAGTAATGTGTTTTAACAACCTCCCTAGATGAATCTGATACAGGGTAAAGTTTGAGAATTACCACCTTAAACTAAAAATAAAATTAAGACAGTAACACCTAATTTGTTAGCTAAGATAGCTTTGGGAATATGAAATCAATTCTCTTCTTGCCATTGTTGCATAGAGCAGGAGTAGAACAGTGCAGCCAAGAATGAGATGGTGCCCTGATGCGATATAAAGATGTTAAGTTAACTTATGAAGAAGCTAGAGCCCCTGATGCCTTCTCAAGTACTTTTAATTTCTTGGAGTAAGTTTTAGAGCTTCTACAAAATGACACCAGGCCCCCTATTCAGAGGTCAGTCTGAGCACGTGATATAATCAGTCCTTAAATCATTAGTAATAAGGAGGGATCATGAAGTTAGCTATTGACTGGACTTTAGACAACAGAGAAAATATTGCTGCTAAACATTTGTTGATGGCTTAAATGACCATGTTTGTTGAGATTAAAGTATCTTGCAAGAAACAAATAAGAAAAGTTGTTGGGGACATAGGCTTATTTGCTTATTTTTTATTGTTGGCTGAGTCCTCTGCCCAATGTCTCTTTGGAATGAGAAACACCAACATGTTTCAGGTTAAAAAATAGTACTGTGGCGGTTGGGCATGGTGGCCCATGCCCGTAATTCCAGCACTTTGAGAGGCCAAGGCAGGCGGATCACCTGAGGTTGGGATTTCAAGACCAGACTGACCAACATGGAAAAACCCTGTCTCTATGAAAAATACAAAATTAGCTGGGTGTGGTGGTATGTGCCTGTAAGGCCAGATACTTGGGAGGCTGAGGCAGGAGAATGGCTTGAACCCAGGAGGCAGAGGTTGTGGTGAACTGAGATTGCACCATTGCACTCCAGCCTAGGCAATAAGACAAAACTCTGTCTCAGAAAAAAAAAATACTGTTGCAGGTATAGTACATAAGTGCAGACCTAGGAGTTCATATTAGAAAATGCCAGAGTGCATGTGTTTCTGCATGCATGCTGACACACTAAAAATGTCAATATGCTTTATGTGTTGTTTATTTTAGTTCTTTTCCATGCTTTTTAAAATTACTGTGCTCCATATTTTGTGTGCTTCGTCATGTCTTTTTGAAGTAATAATAGTAGCTAATATTTATTGAATGCTTCCTGTATGTCAGATGCTACACTGCATCTGTAGCATCTCAGTTTGCATTTTCTCAGTTTGTCTCTGCAGCATCCCGAGTTAGGCACTGTTATTTTTTTCATTTAACAGATGAGGAAAACTAAACCTTAGTTAAGTCATAGCCATCATTGTTAAATGGCTAGGGTAGGATTCAAATTTGGATATTTCTGACTACAAAGTGGTTGTTCTTAATTATCAATGATTTATAAGGGAATACCAGGTCTGCCATTTGCTTTTCCCATAACTTGCAGCATAGAATTTCTCCTCTTCAGGTTCTTTTACAACGATATAACCTTGAGCTTTAAAACCCAACTCTTATAAAACTTTTGACATTAACGAGTAATATTCATGAAGGGTTCAAGTCCAGTAAGTCCTCTAGATACTGTGCATTTTGTCCCTGAATTGAATCAGCCAATCAGAGAGTAGCACACTTTGACTCTATTAATTTAGATTTTCTCTTTCTGAGTTATGCTTTTTTGCCCTGAATTCAGCTTTTGTCCATTGTTTTGTTGTATGGAAGTCCCTCAATTGATTTTATCTGTCTTCTATCAAAAGACATTTAGGTGTTTCCCATCTTCTATTAATAAAATCCTGTGGTGAACATCCTGTTTCTCAGTGTTTTGTTGTATGCATGTATGATTATGTCTGCAGGATAAATTCCTAGTAGAATTGTTAAAGCAAAGATTGGATTTGTTTATAATTACAAAATTGGCTGGGTGCAGTGGCTCACGCCTGTAATCCCAGCACTTTAGGAGGCTTAAGCAAGCGGATCATTTGAGGTCAGGAGTTTGAGACCAGCCTGGTCAACATTGTGAAAGCTTGTCTCTACTAAAAATAGAGAAATTAGTCAGGCTTGGTGGCAGGTGCCTGTAATCCGAGCTACTCCGGAGGCTGAGACAGGACAATTGCTTGAACTTGGGAGGTGGAGGTTGCAGAAAGCCAATGTTGTGCCACTGCACTGCAGCCGGGACAACAGAGCTAGACTCTGTCTCAAAACAACAACAACAACAACAACAACAAAATATATATATTTATACATATATATGCATATATATAAAATCACAAAATTGTACAGATATGGAGTACCTTTTACCCTAAATTTTCTTAACTCTATACTTTTTTTTATATCTGTTATCACATTGTTATTTTAATGTATGTATCTCAACTCACAAGAGAGACAGGACATTATCTCATATGTTAGGAAATCATTTAGCATTTACATTTTTATCTTAATGTACTATATTTTTTATCAGCCAACTCAAATTATTTTTGGGAACAAACAAAAATGTGTGTGTGTGTGTGTGTTTTGAAAGTTTCATACTGTACTAAATAGAGCATTCAAACTAACATTTCAATCTTTTTTTCTATCTGGAAATGATGTGAGGATTTACTTCAAAATATTTTAAATTTTTACATGAAACAGATCTTATTTCTTTTCAAATAATTTCAACTTTTAGTTTAGATATAAGGGGTAAATGCTCAGGTTCATTACCTGGGAATATTATGTGATGCTAAGATTTTCGGTACATATTCCATCACCTAGGTAGTGAGCATAGTACCCAATAGGTAGATTTTCTAAACCACCCCCATCTTCTGGTAGTCCACATAAATATGCAGATATGCTCCCATATTTATGTCCATGTATGCTCGATATTTAGTTTCTACTTATAAGTAGGAACATGCGTTATTTTTTTTCTGCTCCTGCATTAATGCTTGAGATGGTGGCCTCCAGCTCCTCATGTATTGCTGCAAAGGACACAATTTTATTCTTTTTTATGGCTATGTAGTATTCTATAGTGTATATCTACCACTTTTTTTTATTCAATCTACAATTGATTTAATAAAAGGGATTTCACATCTTTGCTATTGTGAATAACACAGAGATGAACATATGAGTGCATGTGTCTTTTAGATAGCATGATTTATTTTTCTTTGGCTATATACCCAATAATGGAATTACTGGGTTCAGTGGTACCTCTGTTTTATGTTCTTTGAGAAATCTGTAGACTGCTTTCCACAGTGGGTAGACTGATTTACATTCCCACCAATGGTGTATAAGTGTTCTCTTTTCTCCACAGCTTTGCCAGCATCTTTTTTATGACTTTTTAGTAATAGCCATTCTAATTTTTTTTTTTTTTTTTTTTTTTTTGTGGCAGAGTCTTTGCTCTGTCATCCAGGCTGGAGTGTAGTGGTCTGATCTCAGCTCACTGCAACCACCACCTCTCAAGTTCAAGCAATTCTCGTGCCTCAGCCTCCCAAGTAGCTGGGACTACAGGTATGTGCCACCATGCCTGGCTAATTTTTGTATTTCTAATAGAGACAGAGTTTTGCCACGTTGGTCAGGCTGGTCTTGAACATCTGGCCTCAAGTGATCCGCCTGTTCGGCCTCCCTAAGTGCTGGGATTACAGGTGCGAGCCACTGTGCACAGCCTCATTGTCACTTTGCATTTATCTGTCAACTAATGATGCGGAGCATTTTCTCATCTGTTTCCTGGCCACTTGTATGTCTTCTTTTGAGAAGTGTCTTTTGATGTTCTTTGCCTATTTTTATGGGGTTATTTGTTTTTGGCTTGTTGATTTGTTTAAGTTCCCTACAGATTCTGGATATTAGGCCTTTGTTGGCTGCATAGTTTGCAAATATTCTCTCTCATTCTGTAGCTTGTCTGTTTGCTCTATTGATAGTTTCTTTTGTTGTGCAGAAGCTCTTTAGTTTAATTAGGTCCCATTTGTCTATCATTCTTTTTGTTGAAATTGTTTTTGGGAACTTTCTCATTTCTTAATGCATTTTGTTTATTCTTTTTAGATTGATTTTTCCACAGTGAAACATGCGATTCCAGATAAATATATAGTGTCTACTTTGCAAAGGTGGCATTTAAATGTGCTGCGTTTGAATTTTCGTGGTTGTCTTCTCCGACCCAAAACTTTCAGATCTGCCAGTAAGTATGTTCATTACAACTATTTATCTTGCTTTCCTGTATTACAATTAAACGAATTTATAGAAAAGCATAGATAAAAAGGAAACTTCAGTGACAGTTTTAGGTCATAAGGTTATCAATTATAAAACTATTTTAAAAGTATATAATACAGTATAGCTCTCACTATTTTGTTTGCCCTAGGAGTTGGTTCTTTGTCTCTTTTTTTTTTTTTTTTTTTTCTGTTTTAGAGTCTCACTTTGTTACCCAGGCTGTAGTGCAATAGCATGATCTTGGCTCACTGCAACCTCTGGCTCGTTGGTTCAAACAATTCTCATGCCTCAGGCTCCTGAGTAGCTGGGACTATGGCATGCACCACCATGCCCAGATAATGTTTTGCTGTTTTTGGTAGAGACCAAACTTCAGCATGTTGGCCAGGCTAGTCTCAAACTCCTGACCTCAAGTGATCCACTCACCTCTGCCTCCCAAAGGGCTAGGATTAGAGGCATGAGCCACCACACATGGCTGATTCTTTGTCTATTTTTGACTACTCTTTTGAGGTGTAGTATTTATGTATCTATGGATCATCGATTTTTCTACTAAAAATATTTAACAGATTCTCATTTTAAAAAATCTTACAATAGGCAAGTAAAACCATCTTTTTCACCTCCCTCAAACCCATTCACTTACTCAAAGGCATCCAATGTTATTAGTTTTCTGTTTTTCTAAAATAAATTTCTATATATGTGATTAAAAATATACAATTTTAATTTTAACATGAAAGGAGTCATATTGTCTTATATTTTCTTTTATGTCCTGAAAAAATTTTCCATGTCAGTATATATAGACCCACTAAATTATTTTTAAATACTTTGAAATTATTTTCTATATTATAGATGTAACATACTTTATGTAACCTTCTTCCTTTTGATGGGCATTGAGATTATTTTCAATTTTTTCCATGCTGACTGCTTTGTACTTCCATTGTGATATTTTTCTTTAACCTATATACCCGTTGAGATGTATTTTCTACCACGTATATATTTATGGAAATGAAAAAAACAATATATTTCAAAAAAAGTATACATTCATTTTGACTCCACATAATGAGAAAGAATGTCATATATATGAGCAAATACCAGTTAGATAAGTTTAATTTGCGTGGGCAAAAACTGGAAGCATTTCCTTTGAAATGTGGCACTTGACGAATATGCCCTCTCTCACCACTCCTATTCAATATAGTACTGGAAGTTCTAGCCAGAGCAATCAGGCAAGAAAAAGAAATAAAGCGTATTCAAATCGGAAAGGAGGAAGCCAAATTGTTTCTATTTGCAGATGACTTGATAGTATATCTAGAAGACCCCATTGTCTCAGCCCAAAAACTCCTGAAACTGATAAGCAACTTCAGTAAAGTCTCAGGATACAAAATCAATGTGCAAAAATTACAAGCGTTCCTATACACTGATAACAGACTGAAAGAGAGCCAAATCAAGAACGAACTGCCATTCACAATTGCTACAAAGAGATTAAAATACCTAGGAATACAATGAACAAGGAACGTAAAGGACCTCTTCAAGGAGAACTATAAACCACTGCTCAACAAAATAAAAGATGACACAAACATATGGAGAAACATTCCATGTTCATGGTTAGGAAGAATCAATATTGTGAAAATGGCCATACTACCCAAAGTAATTTACAGACCCAATGCTATCCCCATCAGGCTACCAATGACCTTCTTTACAGAACTGGAAAAAAACACCTTAAACTTCATATGGATCCAAAAGAGAGCCTGCATAGTCAAGTCAATTCTAAGCTAAAAGAACCCAGCAGGAGGCATCACACTACCGGACTTCAAACTATACTGCAAGGCTACTGTAATCAAAACAGCATGGTACTGGTACCAAAACAGAGATATAGACCAATGGAACAGAACAGAGGCATCGGAGGCAACACAACATATGTACTGCCATACAATCTCTGATAAATATGACAAAAACAAGTAATGGGGAAAGGATTCCCTGTTTAATAAATGGTGTTGGGAAAACTGGCTAGCCATGTGCAGAAAGCAGAAACTGGACCCCTTCCTGACACCTTACACTAAAATTAACTCCAGATGGATTAAAGACTTAAACATAAGATCTAACACAATAAAAACCCTAGAAGAAAATCTAGGCAAAACCATTCAGGACATAGGAGTAGGCAAGGACTTCGTGACCAAAACACCAAAAGCATTGGCAACAAAAGCCAAAATAGACAAATGGGACCTAATGAAACTCCACAGCTTCTGCACGGCAAAAGAAACAGTCACTAGAGTGAATCGGCAACCAACAGAATGGGAAAAAACTTTTATAGTCTACCCATCTGACAAAGGGCTGATATCCAGAATTTACAAAGAACTCAGACAGATTTACAAGAAAAAAACAAACAAGCTCATTCAAAAATGGGCAAAGGATATGAACAGGCACTTTACAAAAGAAGACATACATGAGGCCAACAAACATATGAAAAAATACTCATCATCACTGGTCATTAGAGAAATGCAAATCAAAACTACATTGAGATACCATCTCACATCAGTTAGAACGGCGATCATTAAAAAATCTGGAGACAACAGATGCTGGAGAGGATATGGAGAAAGAGGAACACTTTTACACTGCTGGTGGGAGTGTAAATTAGTTCAACCATTGTGGAAGACTGTTTGGTGATTCCTCAAGGACCTAGAAATAGAAATTTTATTTGACCCATTACTGGGTATATATCCAAAGAACTATAAATTGTTCTACTATAAGGGCACATGCACACGAATGTTCATTGCAGCACTGTTTACAATAGCAAAGACCTGGAACCAACCCAAATGCCCATCGATGATAGACTGGACTGGGGAAATGTGGCACATATACACCATGGAATATTATGCAGCAATCAAAAATGATGAGTTCGTGTCCTTTGTTAAGGACATGGATGAATCTGGAGAAGATCATTCTCAGCAAACTGACACAAGAACAGAAAATGAAATACCACATGTTCTCACTCACAGGCGGGTGATAAACAATGAGAACACATGGACACAGGGAGGGGAGCACTACACACTGGGGTCTATTGGGGGGAATAGGGGAGGGACAGCGGGGGAGGAGCTGGGGAGGGATAGCATGGCGAGAAATGCCAGAAGGGGAGGAAGGCAGCAAATCACACTGCCACGTGTGTACCTATGCAACTATCTTGCATGTTCTGCACATGTACCCCAAAACCTAAAATGCAATTTAAAAAAAGTTTAATATGCAAAATTATGTATAGTTTTACCTTTAATTTTGAAATAATTTTAAACAGTATATATTATTATAGATTTTTAAGGACACACATATAGTGACATATAAAAAGCATGCATGAGAAAAAAACTCCAAATGCAAGACAGTGGTTGTGCAAATAGACAGAGAGAGCTTAATGGAATGGGGAAGAACTGCACAAGGAGTTTCAACTATGTCTGTAGATTTTTTTATTGAAAAAATAAATTATACAAAATATAATAATTCTGATTATTAATTGCTGGTGCTATACAAAGCTGTAGTTTTTTGTATGTTATTGTATCTGACCATGTATTAAGTTCTCTTCTTGGTTTTAATAGTTTGTCAATTGATTCTCTTGGATTTTCTTTCTTTCTCTTTCTTTCTCCCTTCCTTCCTTCCTTCCTTCCTTCCTTCCTTCCTTCCTTCCTTCCTTCCTTCCTTCCTTCCTTCCTTCCTTCCTTCCTTCCCTCCCTCCCTCCCTATTTCTTTCTTTCTTTCTTTTTTGAGACAGAGTTTCACTCTTGTTGCTTAGACTGGAGTGCAATGGCATGATCTTGGCTCATCACAACCTCTGCCTCCTAGATTCAAACTCTTCTGGCTCAGCCTCTGTAGTAGATGGGAATACAGGTGCCTACCACCACGCCCAGATAATTTTTGTACTTTAGTAGAGACGGGGTTTCACCATGTTGGTGAGGTTGGTCTCAAGTTCCTGATCTCATGATCTGCCCACCTCAGCCTCCCAAAGTGCTGGGATTACAGGCGTGAGCCACTGTGCGTTGCCGGTCTCTTGTATTTTCTAGGTAGACTGTCATATCTGGGAATATTGACAATTTTATTTCCATTTATGCCTATTCTTATATATTTTTTCTTTTTCTCATTTTATTACTTTGCTTAGGACCTTTTTTGCAATGTTGAAAAGTAGCAGGGGTATGCAGGAGTCTTGCTCATTGCTTCTTTTTCATATTTTTAATGAGAATAATGTTAATATTAATACATCTTTTAATTACTGGGATTTTAATTACTGGGATCCCCATATCCTATATGGGGATATAATGCTGTTTTCACTTTCTTATAAGGATGATATTGGCTTCATAGAATGAGGTAGGAGGTATTTTTTACTTGTATTTTTTCAGAAGAGTTTGAGGATTGGTGTTTATTAGCCTTTAAATATTTGGTAAAATTTGTTCATGAAGCCATCTGGTCCTAGGCTCTTTGTTAGAGACCTTTTCTTTTTTTAGATGGAGTTTTGCTCTGTCATCCAGGCTGGAATGCAGTGACATGATCTCGGCTCATTGCATCCACTACCTTCCAAGTTCAAGTGATTCTCCTGCCTCAGCCTCCTGAGTAGCTGGGATTACAGGTGTGTGCCACCATGTTCAGCTAATTTTTGTATTTTAAGTAGAGATGGGTTTTCACCATGTTTTCCAGGTTGGTCTTGGACTCTTGATCTCAAGTGATCCAGCCTCCCAAAGTGCTGGGATTATAGGCATGAGCCACTGCACCTTGCCTTGTTGGAGGTTTTTTGATTGCTGATTTTGTATTTTTACTTACTATAGATTTATTTAGATTTTCCATTTCTTCTTGAGTGACTTTTGGTAGTTTATGTGTTTCTAGAAGTTTGTCAATTCCATGTAGTCTATTAATTTTGGAGGGGGGGTACAACAGTTCATAATATTCTCTTATGATCCTTTTTATTCCTGTAAAGTCAGTACTAATGTACTCACTTTCATTTCTAAT